TGTTATGATTCTGGGTTGATGGGCTGTCACATTTTCTTTTCAAATGGACTTTTCAAATGGACTTCTGGAGACAGAAAACCTGAGCCCATGAAGGTCTCCCAGGGCTGGGGGTGAGGGTGGGGGTGGGGGTGGGGGTAGGCAGACCATATTCCCAGGAAGAACCACCTACTCAGCCTCTACCAGGCCAAGCTCACAGTGTTTATTTTGCCTGCTCCCCTAGGCTGTGAGGCCCTGGAGGGCAGGGCCCTGGCCTCATTCATCTCTGCACCCCAGTGCCCAGGTGGTGCACTACCAGCAAGTGCTCAGTAAGTGCTTGTCCAGAAGATGGCAGAGCCCCAATCCACTGGGTGCGTTTTCTATCAGTGGCCACAAGATGGCAGCATACACCCAGCAGAGACAGACAGCAGCTGAAGTGGGGCTCTGGGAAGTGAAGCCTCTGCACAGAGGAAGACTCCCCACGTTTCCCTCCATCCCAGTTGGGACCCCAGCTTCCCATCACCTCCCCCAGAGTCCTCCCCAGCAATACTCACTGAGGAGCGCACCCCCATAGAGGCGGATGGGGGTCTTGCTGGTCACCTGAGCTCCATCAAAGACGGCGTCATAGAGCTGGTCAGGGAAGGCCAGGGCCTGGGGACAGCAGTTGGGAGGCTCAGGGGGAGGGGGTCATTGTGAAAACTCCCTGGACAGCTTCCCCCAGGAAGTGGGCCAGGGTCCCTGGGACAGTCTGGGGCCAGGACCTTCAGTGCCCCCCACCCCTTCATGCCAGGACAGAAGGCCCTGGGGTTGCCAGGGGCAAGGGGTTGCCAGGAACAAGGTGTTGGGACCATGGCCACGGATCCAGGATGCTGCGGGGCAGGCAGGCATAGGTGGGATGTGTCAGGAGCCAGGACATGGAGGCAGCCAGCGAGCCTTGACAGATGGGGCCTCAGGAAGGCCATGGGGTGAGGAGAAGCAGCAGGGGCCCCAGGGCAGGGAGGAGCCCCTCGCAGAGGCCCAGGTTTCCGGGGTGGGGCGGGGGCTCACCATGACGGCAATGCCAGAGAAGAGCACAGCAGAAACAAACTGCCAGACCCTGGGGAGGCACCAATAGGAAGGTCACAGCCAAGCCCCTGGCCGCCACCCCAGGCCCCAAGGGATGCCCCTCTCCAGCCAAGGTGCCCAGGGATGGCTGGTTTGGGGGCAGGGAATGAGCTGGGATGAAATCCAGAGGGGCAAGGCTGATGAGACGGGGTCTTACATAGCTCCTCCCTATAACACACACGAATGCTCACCTCAGTCCCAAAGGCTCCCGAACAGCAAACTTGATTTCATTGCCCAAGACCTGGCTGATCTGTGAACACAGAGGGGAGGGGTCAGAGGCAACCAGGGGGAAGGCATGCCCAGGCTACTTAACCCCCCAGGCCCCCTCCCTCCAGCCTGCTCAGGGGCCCACCGGGTACCTATGCTTAGCAAATGGCCACCCAGGCTGGAAGGTCCCACTGAGGCCACCCCCTCACTGCCTCCCTGACACCAGAGATTAAGGGAAGCTGAAAAGACAGTGGCTGAGAATGAACGCTCGGGCGTCTGCCAGACGCGTGGGCCTGAAGCCCGGCTCCTCTGCCACTTCCTGGTGCGGCCTTGGACAAATCACTAACCTCTCTGAGCCTCAGTTTCCTCATCTATACAATGGGCTGATGTCTGTATCTGCATCTTCCAGGACTAGCAAGATGAAATAATGCTTCTAAAACAGCGGTATACTAACAGGCATATAATAAGCACTCAAACCTAATTATCGGTTTTGTTATTATTCCCCTGACATCTCCATTAAGTCTCTAGAAAAACGAGCTAAGTCTCAGGGCTCCTGCAGCTCTGTGGGACTCGGCTAGTCTTCTTGCAAAGTGGTGGCCAGACCTGCCCCACCAGGTCCTCAGAGGCAGACCCCACCTTGGAGCGGTGCACCTCCCCGTCGTCATCCTCGCCGCCCACACCGAGGATCTTGCGGGTCTTCAGGCGGCTCACGAGGTCCGTCTGGCTGTGCTTCTTCATGAGAGGCGGGGGCTGCTTGGCCGCCATCTTGTCCTGGAGCCCGGCCTCTGCGGAAGGGCTGCAGGGGGACACGGGCCTCAGGCCCTGGGTCCCAGCTGCCAGACCTCAGGGGGCAGCCCGACCCAGCCCAGGGCCTGTGGAGGCTGGGGCCCAGGCTCCCCAGTGAACTCCTGCCCAGACAATTCCTGCTGCCCAGCAAGCCCTCCCCGCCACATACCCCCTGGACTGAAGGCAGGGGAAGGAGCTGGCACAGGACCCAGCTGAGCCAGAGGAAGGACGGCCAGGGGCCCGGGCAGGGCTTCAGACAGTCCAGGTCTCTCCCCTCCCTGCCATCAGCACCCACCACCAGCCTCTCAGACCAGACCCCCCGAGTCTGCCCATGACTTCCCCCAGGCCCCAATTCCCGGCCAGCTCCTAGCTCCACCTTGGGCCAGGACTTAAGCACCTACTGTGTGCCAGGCACCGTGCAGGGCAAGGGAGACGCAGAGATGAGTTGAGTGCCCGTTCTCGCCTTCTGTCAGCACAACACCTACGCAGAAGAGAAAGGAATGAAAACCACAATGAGGCAAAGGCTTCCAGAAGCTGGCCCTGGGGTGGCACGAGGCTCCTCTAAACGCAGCCACTCCGCCCTGCAAGATGGGTGCTGTTGACACCCCTTTCTCAGATGAGAAAACCCAAGTTCAATGAAGTTCAACCAAGTTCAATGAGGTTCGACAGAGACCAGCAGTGGGTGCCGCCTGTATTCCAACATCTCATTCCCACCCACGGCCACTCTGGGAAGGCAGGAACATCCCCCCGGTTCACAGACAAGGCTCAGCCGGGAACCTGGGCTGGACTGGCCAGCCTCCCCGACCAGGCCTCCGACCCAGGTCTCAGTGCTGTGTGGCCCCAGGCGAGCCTCGCTGTCCAGGGCCGCCAAAGGCAGAGCGCAGAGATGTCCCTAGGTCCCCTCCAGTTTCCCAGCCCCCCCCCATGTCTTAAAGCAAAATGAAGCACCCAGCAAATAAACATCAGATCAGAGAATCAGACTGTGGGGCGTTCGGATAATGAGGCTGTAGGCTTAGATACACTGGGCAGGATGCAGAGTTTGGAAAGAAGGGCAAAATCCGGCTGGGAGGTCTCAGTGAGCGCGATGTCCCTGGCGATGGCCCGCCTAAGCGCCCCAGCCCCGACCCTCATCTGTCAACTGGGGCAGCTATGCCTTCCCCTCCCCCCACACACCTGGGGGCACCAGAAGGCAGCGCAGTGCCCCTGCCTGTAGGCGGGAGGCGGCCAGTCCCACTGGGGGAGCCAGGGCTTAATCACACTGCTCCTCGGGGACCCAGGAGCTGTCACAACACCTCAGCCACATGCCACCACCTCCCTGTGAATCCAGATAGAAGCTGTAATCAGCTTGGCATCCCTCCCGCTGCCAGGCGGGCCTGAGAGCCACTGCACAGTAGTATTTATTCCAGGGGACGGATGTACCAGTGTCATTATCGTCACTCACCAAGGAACAACTGGGTTGATTCCAGAGTTTGATGACTGTGAACAAAGCTGCTATAAACATCCACATACAGGCTTAGTGCAACCATAAGTTCTCATTTCTCTAAGGTAAATGCTGAGTTATACGGTACCTCTCCATTTTGCTCTAGGAGAACGCGCCAAACTGCGTCCACAGCGGAGGCCCATTTGCATCCCCCACAATGCATGGGCATTCCCGTTTCTCTCCCCATCCTGCCAGCACCAGGCATGGTCAGTCTTCCAACCGGTCCCCCTGTCTCTTAACCCTCTTTCCCAGGCTGACCATGCTGCCTGACTCAGTCTTTACTGGTTGTGTGACTTGGGCAAGTCTCCTCACTTCTCTGAGCCTCAGTTTTCCCCATCTGTGAAATGGAGCTATACTACTTCCCACCTCCTAGAGATTCAATGGCAAAAAGAGAAGCTTGGTCAGAGCACACAGCGCAGCCCCTGCACATTTAAATGAAGAAACTGCAGTTAGTGAGGATGTGCTGTGAGGCAGGTATAGGATGGTGGCCCAGGGCCCCTGCCTGGGTGGGGGCGGGGAGCGGGGGCTGATCTGTCAGCCATCAATCAGAGCAAGTTACTTCTCTGAGCCCCGATGTTCTCATCTGTGAAATGGAAACCCTTACCTTCCCCTAGGGCTGGGCTAAGGAGGAACAGCATGATGGACAGGAAGCGCTTCATGAAGGGCCAGCTTGCTGCAGAAGGCCTAACTGTTAAGAGCTTAACTGCTGGAGTCATACCTGAGTTCAAATCCTGTCCAGCACTTCTTAGCCGTGTGCCCGTGGGCAAGTCACTTAATCTCTCTGTGCCTCAGCGCGCCTCCGCCCCCCACCTGTACTTGGGGAAATAAAGGGTCCAACCTTCAAGGGGTGTTCTGAGAACACAGGCTATCGTTGTGAAGTACGGAGGGCAGCGTGTCTGGCCCCTGAAAAGTGCTCGATGGAGCTGGGCACTTGGACCCTCCGGCCCCGCCCTGGTTCCCCATGCAGCAGTGGCTGTGGGACGGAGGCCAGGGAGAATCAGAAGGGCCTCACTAGCATTTGCTAACATCTCCCTCCGTTGGGCAAAGCCCCCAGACCTCAGTCCCATGACATGAGGCTGACTCTCGAGCCCCAGCCCCCAGGCCTGGGCTGTGTCGGTGACTCCAGCTCCTCTGCTCAATGTCCTCTCCCCAGCAACACACAAAGCTCCCGTCTGCCACACAGGCTGGAGCCATAAATCAAAGACGGTGAGGTGTGGCAGTGCCAGCCTGCTGAGGCTGGGTGTAAAGGGGCTCCGTCAGACACTGGCATCACTCATAGGTGGGACCAGCTTTATCCACAGGCACTGCCATCAGGGACCTGGGCTGGTGGGACCCACTGCAGCCACCCACCCCAGAGCCCAGCCCCAGCACTGAGCTCACCACCAACAAAGAAAGGGCCCTGGTGCCTCCCAGGGAGAGTGAGAGCTTGAACTTGATCTCCAGGGAGTGGCCCCTGCACCTGCCTCTAGTTAACTTCTCGAGCACTGAGTTCTGTCCCATCTTCACCTGCAGGACCGGGCGCTGCCTGGAGAGGGAGGTGAGCAGCTGCACCACTCCTGTATACCCCAGCCTTAGGCATGCCCACTCCCAAGGCAACCCCTCATCTGCCCTTAAACTTCCTTCCCCATTAAGGCCATTCTATGTGTTCATTTTAGGCCTGGCCCCACTTTAACCTAAGAGAGGACAGAGGGCACCTCCTTCTGATCCTCTGCCTCCACTTGGGCTGGACACTAGCTTGGGGCAGCCAGACCTGGCTTTGAATCCCGGGTCTGCTCTCCTACAGGTGCAGGGCTTTGGGCAAGTCGTGCAGCCTATGTCGGCCCTGAGCAATGGGGGTAATGGGAAGGCCCACCCTGCAGAAGTGCTGGCGGACACAGGGCGTGCCGTGTGGGCAGTGCCTGCAGCAAGGCACCCTGCCCGCGACAGACAGGCCCACGCTCCTGCACTTCCCTCTTCCTTCACTCGGCCGCGCACAATGGAAAAAGCCTGCCTGGCAGGGCTGTCACGCTTCCTTTCCCAGATCCAGTCTGAAGGGCCCCAGGGCTCCCCCGGATGCCAGGCTTCCCCAGCACAAGAGGAGCAGTGGGAGGAGGGCTGTCCCTCCATCTACATGCTCACTTGGGGGGACCTACTCAGCAAGAAGGGAGACTGTGGCTTGCAGCCCCCAGCCCTGAGTTCATGACCCTCTGCATTCTGCCCCTGGCCAGCTGCTTTGACCTCAATTCCCAATAAAGCTGGGAAGTCGCTCCTTTTAATAGCTGTTTCCACTTCTGAACCACTGCTCAGCCAGGAGGCCCCTTCCTGCCCTCCAACCCCCCTCCCACCCCATCTTCCTTGTTCCTCCTCCCAGGGCCCTGCTTCCTCCTCTGGGCTCATGGGTCCATACTCCCAGTCATGTCACGGGCAGTTGGCCTCCTGAGATTTAATGAGCTGAAGGCAGGGCTGGTATTGTGCCCATCTGAGAGTGTCCCTGCTGCGCCTTGGCACACAGTAGGCACTTTGTCAGCACAGACAAATGAGACAGGCTAAGAGAAGCGGGTCTCACTGCCCACCCAGGACACTCAGGATCACACAGGGCCCAAGGGGGGCTCAGCTCCAAACACACAGGGCAGAAAGCTGAGGCGGAGGGGACGGGACCCGCCCCAGGCCACACATGAGCCGGTGGCAGAGGAGGGCAGGAAGGGGGCTTTGCAGTCAGGCAGGGCTGGGCTTCAATTTGCACCCGCTACTGGGCAGGTGGCCTTGGGCAAGGGCTCCCTAGGGTGCTGAGGACTCCAGGAGGACCTGGCAGATGGGTGCCAGGAGGTGGTGGGGTCAGAGGACTGGGTGAGAATTCGGGTGAAACCTCGCCCCACTGCCTCAGAAAGCTGCAGCCAGCACTGGGAGGGGATTGCCAAGGGGCGGGGTGTCAACGGGGCCTGGGACAGTTCCGGGCACATGGGCTCAGCATCTATTTGTGATAAGTTAGTGAGTTGGGAGCGGGGTTGAGAGGCCCCTGCTGGCCAAGGTCTGACTGGTAGCAGCCCATCCCCACCCCGCTGCCTCGTGTGCTTGACATCTGAGGCCAGGGAAGAACATCCCCAAAGAGGTCCCCGTGGCAACAAGACAGAGGGGCCAGGACTGGGCAGAGGCCAAGCAAAGCCCCCAGAGGCGGAACCAGCAGGAAGGGAGGGCGCAGCAGTGGTAAAGGTGTCAGAGGCGGTGACAGAGTGGGGTGGGGAGGGGCATCTACTTCACGACTGGTAAACTTGGGCTCAAACCTCAATGCTTTATCTCAATTAGGCGGTAACCTCAGGAAAGTTTCTTAACCTCTCTGAGCCTCTATTTCCTCCTCGAGAAACCACACTGCTCCTTCTCAGCTCGCAGGGCTGTGACGAGGCCCACTGAGCAGGCAGTGGAGGGCCCGGCACGGGCTATGTGCCAAGTGAAGGACAGCAATCAGTAAGGCTACCGGGCGGCTGCCCAGGCCCTGCTCCTGCCGCAGAGCAGATGGGCTGGGGCATCGTTCTGCCAGTCCTAGAGGACCTCTCCCAACCCCCGTCCCCGGAAGCTGGGTTTCCATAGAAACGGCTGGACTACAGAGCTGTGCCCATCGTGGAACCTGACTGGCACGGGGAGGGGAAGGAGAGGAAGGGGCCTGGGCCTCAGAACACCCACCACCTGTGATTCAAAGGGGAGTCGATGCTGCCGTGTCTGCCAAGAACCACTTCCTTGCAAACAAGAGCCCCTGCTGGCGGCGGGACGCACCTGTCCTCCCATCTGGTAAGGAGAACGGCCCCCTGGGCATCCACCCTGGGGCCGGAGGGGGCGAAAGTACTTCCGGACTAGGAACTCCCTGTAACCCCCACCATGCCCTCTGAGACTGGGGTACTATCACCCCCATTTCACAGAAATGAAGGCCAAAGTGTCTCCTGGGGTAAGTGGCAGAGTTGAAATTCAAACCAAATTAACTGGCCATCCTGAGAGGAGTTGGGGAGCATGTCTGTGGGAGTTGGAGCATG